TATAATACTAAAACCTTCCATAACTCAGCAAGATTGTTCCACAAAGGTCGTATTTTTAATAAAAATTCCAGTCGTGTACGTAGAATAATATTTATGTCTGATACTCTTGGAGTTTTTTTCTTCCATTGACCTCTCTTTGCTAGTAAAAGACCCATTGACAAACAGATCTCTGTAGATATAAATAGATAGGGATGTTGAGCGCTGAGAATTACTTGTTGGAACTATAGAGGTAGAGAAGAAAATATAGAATTTACAGTTTTTTTTTGCTTTGAGGCTTTATAGAGGTATTGCCAGAGTGGTAGTGGAATACCAATAGACCGTAATAGCCCAATGCCAAAGGCCTCCTCAACATTTCATGGATTTGATAAGCTTCGTGCTTAGAACACAGGTTGGAGAATCTAGTTTAAAAAAGTTCCGGTTTATATGAGAGCGCTAATAACAAAATATAATACGGTAGTTGATAGATAGTAAAATTCAATACGTTTATTTAAATGTCAAAAACGATACTTTTCTATGAATTTTGTATAGGGTCGCAACTTATGACGTCATCATATTTCTGCGTCAAATAGCATACTTATTTCTTTAAAATTATCGAGAAAAAAATCCAAAAGTAGGTAAATTGACAAATTATTGGATGAGAATATGATTATTTTTTATTATTTATTGCATTTTAAAGTTGAAACAATTTATTTTAAACCTAGGAATCTAGCCAATTATAATTGTCTGTTAGTCAGTTCTTTAGCAATGTTCATTACTTCTACCTTGTTACAAAACCATACGGCATATTATGCATTACGTCTTACTAAATTATAAATGAAAGAAAGAAAGAAAGAAAGAAAAATCATTTATTCGGCAGTAGGCACGCACACAGATACAAAAAAATACAAAATTAAAAATGAAAAGAACAAATAAATACACTTATTTATACAGAAGTAATAGATAGTATAGATTCCAAAAACATTGACTATGTTTTGTTTCCATGATTTAAAACCAAACAGTAATACAAAACCAAAGTTTACCACTAACCAATTTGAACAAAAAGCTTTCTTAATGATGAATTTATTACTTCGTTCCTATTTTAGACAAAGGCGGTTGATGGACAATTTCCATGATAAGTTTTACTTTCATTTTTTTAATGGATCCCCTTATTTTATGGCTCAAAACTGAAGTGCTCGACTTACGTAAGGGGTCAAATAATTTGTAGTAGTACCTTGAAGAACTTAACATGGAATTCTTGGTACACTTTCACATCTGCTGAAGATTAAAAGCATTTTATTGACTAGAAGGAGTTTTTTAGTGTCAACTATGGATATGATAATAGATTTTTTATACGATACTTCTATGTAAGTGGTATATATATATACGTGGGGCCTTAGTTTGTTTAGAAAATAATTATTAATATCAGCATTTAAAGACTCATTTATTACTTTAACTGCCAAGTTTAAAATGGTGAAAGTCAAACCTCCACTAGCGTCAGGCACCGGTGACTGACGTGGCGCTCTAAGGGTTATCCAAGTGTCACTGTGTAAAGTACCAATATCTGAATATTTTCTTTAAGCCAGTTATACTTTGCCCGACCCGGGAATCGCACTTGGTGGGGCTATACGTGATTTATCCAGTGGGCTACAAATGGGGTTCTTCAAGAGGGGAGTGAATAGGTTTATTAAGGGTCGGCAAGACGCATGTAATGCCCCAAGTGTTGCAGGCGTACATAGGCCATGGTAACCGCTTACCATCAGGTGGGCCGTGTGCTTTTTTGCCACCGTCGTGGTATAAAAAAATTAATGTGTATGTATAATTTTCAAGTGTACTTCGTAATACTCACTTTTAACTGAATCCATTTTGATAGTTTGGAGTATATTTATTATCCACTTTACGAAAAAATATTCGTTCTTTAAACCTAGATATAGGCGTATTTTTGCTAAAGTTTTCTCTACTGAAGAGAAATAGGGAAGTGCAAAAAAATAAATTATCTATACCAAGTTAAAGGCAGACGTGCTCCATTGAAGGCTGCATCATCGCCTACCACCAGGCGAGATAGTGGCCAAACGTCGGCCCATTAAATACAAAAAAAAAACATTAAATCCACAGAAACATCCAAGACATAACATAACATAACATCACGCCTTTTTATCCCCGAAGGGGTGGTAGGCAGAGGTGCACATTTCGGCACTTAATGCCACTGTACAATGTAACACCCACTTTTCACTATTTATGTTATGAGTCCCATGTAATAGGGGGTGAGCCTATTGCCAAATTCCGGGCACATTTCCAGACTCCGTGCTACCACTGAGATTTTTAAAAACCCAGTAATACTTTGCCCGACCCGGGAATCGAACCCGAGACCCCTTGCCCGGCAGTCGCACTTGCGACCAATCGGCCAACGAGGCAGTCATAAGAACCTCCAAGACATAAGAACCTTTCATCTGTTGAAACACCGGCGCCCGGTATAAAATACATTAGAGGTATACTCGCAACTTTTAACAGACAAGGGGATAACCATCTTTAGATTGAATATTTTACTGTCTCATAAAAGTCTAACTGGAACTGTTATCGAAAATTGAGACTTGATTCAAATGTCTTCTGGGTAAGACAGTAATTGATATGACCATAACATACCCGTTAGCTGGAAGGCAGGAAGTCTATGCTTACCTTGCATTGCCCATTAAAACACCGTTGACAAACCAGACGAGGTTATCGCAAATAGTTTTACTACAAACGACGTACGAAGAATCCATGTTGATAAGAATATTTAAATACTTTTTTGTGTTAACCTGTATCTCTTTTGTAGAGTCGCTACTGTGGCTTTTTAAGCAAAGAAACACACATTGCCGACCATATTGATTGGACCAATTATTGTTGAGGACTTTGATTTACTAAAAGTAATTAATTACGCAAGAAATTCTGTTGCCTCGTTGGCCGCGTGGTCGCAAGTGCGACAGCCGGGTAAGGTGTGTCGGTTCCGATTTCCGGACAAGGCAAAGTATTACTGAGTTTTAAAAAAAATCTCAGTCGCAGCACAGAGTCTGGAATTGTGCCCTGTATAGGGTAATGGGCTCACCGCGTATTACGTGGAATTCATAACATAAATAGTGAAAAATGGATGTTACATTGCACAGAGGCATTAAATGCCGTAATGTGCACCTCTGCCTACTTCTTCGGCGATAAAAGGCGTGATGTTATTGTGTATGTATGTAGTATGTACGTAACATACATAATTATTATCATCAATTATGAAAGGGGTGTTACTTAACATATTTATTCCTTTGATGATAATATCAATCGGTAAACTTCATTAACGTATATACTCCTTCTGCCTACCTTTTTGCAGAATGTCATTATCAAAAGGTTCATAAATTATTTTTTCTGGCTGACGACGGTAACAAACCGCCCTGTTTGTCCTTCAGTAAAACAATTATACCGTAATATCAGAATGACATATAAAAGACCCTTTTCCGACCCACATCAGCTATTACTCATAAAATCAACGAACAAACAACAATACAAATTGTTTGTTAAGTAACAAAAAGTTATAATGTAAATTCTGTGACCCTTGTGATAAAGGATCTAAGTGCGAAATTTCAACTTTACAGGAGACGCAATAACTCTCGGTGCGCTTCATATTGGATACTTGCCAACTAGTCAAATTCAATACATTTTTTGAATTGTCAAAAACGACAGTTTTCTATGAATTTTGTACGAGATTGTGTGTTGTGACGTCACGTTTTTTTGGAGTGAAACAGTTCTTAAAAATTTACTGAAAAAAATCTAAAATTAAGTTGGTCATAAAATCAATTAATGAAAGTGTAATTTTTTTATATATTTTGTTGTAGTGAACAGTCGAAATAATTTATTTTTAATTAAGGAAAAGTACCCAATTCATGGTTGGCTTTGTTTGCCCTTTAAACTGTCAAACACCGCGAGGACACCGGTGATCGCAACCTATTGTTCTATAATGACGGTACTCAACGAGTTAAACCACTACTTGATAAAATACCTGCATGTGATGTTTTTATAGGTAAACAGCTTGATTGATGAAGCATTTATTCTGATTATTTTAGTTGTTTTTTTTTTAATTGACTGCCTCATTTACCTTGTGGTCGCAAGTGTCGGGCAAAGATTACCGGGTTTTTTTTAAAGATCTCATGAGTAGTACAATTGAGGCCGATATATGGCAATAGGCTCACCCCCTATTACATGGGACTCATAACATGAATAGTGAAAAGTCGGTGTTTCATTGTACAGTGGCATTAAGTGTCGTAATGTACACCTACCCCTACGGGGATAAAAGGCGTGTTGTTATGTCATATAATTTGGGAATTAATTCACATTCGACAAAATTGGACGTATACCCTTTTTCACTAAGGCCATAGAATTTTCGACACCCCTACCCGAGTGTAGTTTGTATAACCAACTTTTTGAACTTATTTCTTGACGAGGGACAAAATGGAAGACTGTCATGAGATTTAGGAAGCAATTTTTGAACTTTGTCGCTCCTTCGAAATGATGTATTGTTGAAATTCGTTTCGCTATTTCTTTCGCTTCCGATGAAGTGATAAAATAGACTTTCGTATCAACGTAGGAAATAGTTCTTTGGCACTTTCTTTGCAAATTGGTATATTGTTTTCTTTAAAAGTATTTAAAAGTATAGTATTTCTTTGAAAATTACGAAGTATGTTTTTAGTAGGATCACGAAGCATATTACATTTGGTAGCCTTTGGCTCGTATGTATTTTGTAAATGCGTTTAAGACAAATGTGAAATCTTAGTGATAAACGACTTCGATTACGGTATCCGTGGTTGGAAGTTTAGGAATTATTTGGGGAACCAAATAGAACAAGGATTTTAGAAGGTGCTAGTTAAACTTTATTTTAATAATTGTTGGACAACAAATGTATAAACACATTCGATATAAGGGCAGGTGCAGCGTATTTATAACCATGTTACATGACCTGGTATAATATCTTATGTTCACGTAGAACAATCAAATGCTTTTGAAGGATGGGTGAGCCAGGTGAGCTTCTGTAGTTTCTATCAACTCTCAAGGGATGAAGTTGAAAATTTATGTATGTATGTAATTACGGTCTACCCAAGATCGCCTAATACCCCTCTTGGGTACGATAAAATGGCCCCTGAGGTATTTCGAAAGAAATAAGTCCTTGAGTCTGTAACGCTAGCTCGTCATGCTAACCTAATCCATGAAATCTCTAATGGATTTTCAGCTTTATTGCTTTTGTAATAGAATTGAAGATCTGTTAAGGAAAGCAAGCAAGAGTAGTTTGATATTCGTGGCGTCTGTATTCATTACCCTCCAGACGTACCCCATTTAGCAATTGGTAAATTAATTCCACACTTTTTGCTCACAAAAATAATTTATAGCAGTTATTTTCATTTAAACCTAAATTGCTGTTAAATAATTCATTTTCAGTTTATCTGGTCTGAATAAATGTGTTTTCAATTTATTTCGCTCAGAACAGGTGTTTGAATTGAATTTAATTTTCGTTTCAAAGCTTAGTTAAAATAAATGTATAGTAATTTTATTCTGGACCAAATGTGATTTGAATCTGTTTTGTGTAGATAACAGGATATACCTCTAATGTAGTTATTTTATTTATATGATAAATAAGGCTAGTCTTTCGGTTAAATTCATGTATTTTGTTCTTAAATGTCGTATTATGAAGCAAAGGTATGTTTGAAAGTATTGCGTAGTCAACAAATCTGTGTAATTGTGTCGAATGATAATAATGACATGTGTCTTTTTACATTTAACAAAGCCAGATATGTACCTAATTATTTTTGGATTTTAGTAATGTAGCCCTTGCGGTTACATTTATTTCATCTCTCTAGTTCTTTATTCCATTCGAAAATTGTATTTCATCATGTCAGCTGTACAATTTTAAGTACCATGATCGAAATTGAAAGTGTACAGGAAAACTATGCACTTATTATAATGTATATATCTTTAAAAATGACTAATAATATCTTTTTCGTTATTCCAGGTGTGGTTGTGATGACATGGTGGTGGGCGCTGGCGCTGCTAGCGCTGTCTGCGCCCGCCCGCCCCGCGCCTCGGGCGGGCAACGGTGAGCAATTTTACAGTAAGCATCACATTGCGCACTATTTCCCGCACGATTGCGCCCTGCCACCGATAGTGTCGCGCTTCACGTTGATGTCATCGGTGTGGTGATGGATATGAAACTCACAAAACTCAAATTGAAAAAAAGTAGACATTAGTTTTTTAAAAGCGCGAATCTAATCTGTTGTCTAGTTATAATATTAATTTGGTAGTTTATTTATTTTACAGTCTTACTTTTTTAATTTGCTGAAGTAATAGACAAAAGGTATCTATGAATTTATAATTCAATTACAATTAACATTTGAATTTATTTCAGACAATGTATTAATTCTAATGCATAAACGAGCTACTTCTGAATACATAATTATATTTAATGCTTTTTAAAACGCACTTGAATAAAATCCTCAGTGTTCTACCACAATACATTTAAAAGTAAAGACATTACAGTCAGTTAAAAGTTTTATTACTTGTTTTTATTTCGCTGTGGGGGAACTATAAAGATATATGGCGAGGCTATCGGCTGTTCTAGTTAAGGAGTGGGCACATAACCGATGACATACTAATAACAGTGTTTTGTTTTGTGCGCAACGCAATCAGGCGACTTCGCACTTATCAGTGACTTAACTGAGCATGTACTCATCACTTTCGATCTTCTTGAACATATTGCACTTAATTTGTGGTGATCTTTATGGATTTTGTCTTTTTTTTTGTTTAATGGGGTTTCTGTCGCGCAATGTGATTGTCTACTACCTCTGTTTTGGACTGTTTGTTGATTTTATTTCAGTTTGCGTATTTACACTTGTAGGCGTGACAAATGTTTATAGAATTTAGATTCTAAGCACTTAGGTGCTCTGACTATGTAAGCCTGTTGACAATTCTTCTTTACTTTATTACCTTTAAATAATATGTATTGATTTTGTACTTCTTATAGGTTTAAGTCAATGAATTTATAATCAATAAGTATTAAATGTTACTTGTCAATTATAAAAAACGCTGCTTACAGAAGCAAAGTGTATCGAATTACGTTCTCAATATATTTTTGACAAAGTCACGTATGAATAAACAACTCCAATTCTAAAACTGTCAATTAATAAAGAAAACATCAATGACTCGACAATTTTGTTAAGATTATTCTTGAAAAAAAAACTTCGATTATTCTCGTTATGAAGTGAATGAAAGCAATGGCAGGAGTTTTAAACTGTTGAGTTGGAATGAACGTGAAATTGCCGCGTCGATATTTCAACGGTTTGCAAAAAGATTTTTTCTTTTCTCTTAACAAAAGGGAGTTGGAACACTTTGATTACTTTCAAAGAATAAAACTTTTATCTTTAATTTAGGATTGTCTTCGCAAAGAACTTTTTATTTGTGCTAATGTAAGATGCGAATAGTTTAGGCAAAATGGTGACAGATTACATAACATAACATCACGCCTTTTTATCCCCGAAGGGGGTAGGCAGAGGTGCACATTACCTCTATACCACTGTACAATGTAACACCCACTTTTCACTATTTATGTTATGAGTCCCATGTAATAGGGGGTGAGCCTATTGCCATATACCGGGCACAATTCCAGACTCCGTGCTACTACTGAGAATATTGAAAAACCCAGTTATACTTTGCCCGACCCGGGAATCGAACCCGAGACCCCTTGCCCGGCAGTCGCACTTACGACCACTCGGCCAACGAGGCAGTCAGACAGATCACAGTCAGTGACAGATTAGATTATCGTATTTTGCGGAACTTTCGAAAAACGTTTCTTTATTTAACTACCTAAGGTTTATTTTGGAAGAAACAAAAAGAAAAAGACATAAAATCAAAACACATGAACATCATCAATATATTGGAGCCACAAAGTCAGCAGCTTTGTAGGTATCTATTTCCCTAAGCTTGGGGTCACCAACAAAGAATATCATTTACAAACTTTATACTTCAAGGTCATACACGCATATCAGAGAGCCGTAAACCGCGAATTATCTCCGCTGGTTTTATGGCCGATGTAAATTTACTGTTTCGCTGTACGATGGGATTTTTATCCGGTTGCGTCAGTTTTAAAGGAGTTTTATGGGCTTTGGATATGGATCGTCATTTATTTAATGGGATCATGAAGGATTGGCTTAGAGTGGTTGATAGTATAACCGCTATGCTAGTATATAGTCTGGGTTTAATCTTTGGGTTATTCAAAGTATTATGGAACTTTGGGATAGAAATGGTTACGAGGGTTTTAATATCCAGAAGTGAAGTGCGGAGCGGTGGGAAAACAATAAACTTTCGAAACCTATTTGATATGTCCTACGTGACAAAACGATGCGTCCGTGCGATGCGGTGCGGTGCGGCGCGAAATGACGCGGACGTTAAGCGCGGACGCGGTCTATTGGTTTCATATTTTCGCGTGAACTGTCATATTTAAATGCGGTGCTATCATGTTTTTATTTGATAATAATGAAATGATTCGCATGCTGTAGGACAGAGCCGCCGCCGTGACCGCTTCATAATCGCGTTCACTTATAGATTGCTCACGCAGAACGTAGCCATAGAGGTTCGGAATAGACTACTCTTATAAATCAATGTTTATATATTATGAAAAATTAATCAGTGAAATGCAAAAAGCCCCTTAAATCTGTTTAAGTTTTAAAGACTACCTTATCGTGATTACCTATGATGATGTAAATATTTTGAATTTGGAAATTTTGTTACAAAAACTGTTATCTACAATGATTTCATATTAACCAAACTGAAAACTAAACTAAACAGAACATAAAATAACACAACATCACGACTTTTATCCCCGAAGGAATAAGCAAAGGTGCACATCACGGCACTTAATGCCAATATACAATGTAACACCCACTTTTCACTATTTATGTTATAAGTCCCATGTAATAGAGGCTGAGCCTGCCATATACCGGGCACATATCCAGACTCCTCTACAACTGAGTTTTTTTTTTAAACCCAATATTAATTTTCCCGTTAGTGACACTGGCAACCAGTCGTCCAACGAGGCAGACTAAAAAGGAAAATCTTAAAAATCACCCCGTGACATAACACCTTTATTCTCGCATGTACCGTAACATTATCAAAGGCGAGTCTTAAGTACTTGTGAAGTGTAAGATCGGTACAGTTGAGTAGTAAAGTGGATGGCAGCGATCGAAAGTGAAGAAGTGTACGATGGCCAGCAGGCAAACCTATCCATTTCTAGCAATTTTCTCAATCACATCTTCAACTCTATTCTATTGACATAAAGTCGAAAATACTATGAATAAACTTGACAGATTGGTGTAGGTGCATATGCCTGCCAATGTACTAAGAAAACAAGTTGAAAGCTCTCTCTATGGCAGTAGGGAGACCACTTACTAACAAAATGTGAGACTTTTTACGACTTTTTTGATGTTCCAACTTAGATACCAAGTTACTTAAGTAACTAGTTGATATTTTATGTACTTGTAAGTTTTAGATGGTAAGAAGGGAAAGTGTAATCTGTATGTTAATTGATCGTTATCTATGTGTTGATTAGGTACCTACTGTTTATTGGAAATATTTAATTGATATTTTTACTGATACTGCCGATCGTTTGCCGAGTGGTCGCAAGTGCGTCTGCCGGGCAAAGGGTGTCGAGTTCGATTCCCGGGTCAGGCAAAGTATTATTGTACTGACGTTAAAAAAAAAATGTTATGTTATGTTATTTAATTGATATTTTCTCTTACAAATGTAAGAGAAAATAATTGAACAAACTGTATTTGCAGTCTTTCAACGACTTTGTCTTTATTGTTGAATACATAGATATTATTCTTATTATGTGCCAATTGAATTGAATACTGTGCGCGGTATAATCAATTTAGAAAACGACACATTTTCAGTAGCAACTCTACGCTCAAAAATTGCAATCATCAATCTGTTATTCTCATAAAATTCCAACATAACCTAAAAGAATTGACATAACCTCAAAAATTTCGTTTTTATCTCAAAACAAGATGGCGGCCCCACATACCTAAGGGCCTCGTGTACTTGTCAAATAAAGGCGTGTGTGCGATCCCATCGCACCATAATTTGTTTGAAAGTGAAACCACTTCGCTTTCTTTCCGTCGGTTAGAGTTCGGGACACGAAAATTACTAAGCAAACGAAATTTGTCTGGAAAAACTACGCTATGGTACGCATTTGGGTTGACAGTAATTTTGTAGCCACGATTTTTTATATAGTAAAGGTAAACAATAATAAAAGGAAAAGCCATTTTTTTCGTAAGCATCAGTACTCTAACTTACTAAAACCAGGCTTTAGTAAGTTAGGCTACTGCTTCTCTGGAGCTTGGAAGCGTCTATTGACTCGAACGAGAATATCGATTTAACAAACACTTTGTATCAATTTAACTCTTTGAGTACCGTCATTATAGGCACAATTAAAGAACAATAGGTTGCGGTCACCGGTGTCCTGTGTTTGACAGTTTAAAGACACATAATAAAAATTTATGTTTAAAATAAGAAAATCAAATTCAACCGTCTCTTTTTTTAAATTAAACCTTGTCCCAATTGAATTTAAACCTTGTCCCAATGGAGTTTCTTGCTCGTCATGGAGTTTCTTGCTCGTTCTTCTCCATTCGAATCTACTTTTTGGAATGAGCACCTAGCTTCACCTAGTTTCACTGACGGACTGACTGACAGACTATTATTTATTTTGTATTTGTTGACGTTTCAAAAGTACCAAACTATGGTTTAATTGAAATAAATGCTTTGACTTTGACTTTGACTTTGAAACAAACACTTTTCTAAAAACTGCATCAAAATCGGTTTAGCCAATCGCGAGATAATCGCGCACAAACATACATGTCAAACTGAGATTGTTTTTTTAACTGGCTACATTTTTGCTTTTTAAAAATCAATCGGTTTAAAATCAATCAAAGTTAATCAAAACTTATACGACTATATTCTCTGACTCTATTCTCAGCAGTACCTACTAAATAAATAAAATAAAATACTTGTGCTATTTGACATAACAAATCAGTATTTTTGTTGTCATTGGTTACGTTCTGTAGTCCATTAAAAATAATAGAAACGTATGTCTGTAGGAACGATAATTTCTCTCCATCATGACCATATTTCGTTATAAATATACGCAAAAA